CAGTTGAAATCGCTGTTAAGCGAAATCCTTGTCAAGCGGAACGAAAAATTCCATTGAAATGCATTGAAAATTGGTTCAGTGCGTTCCAGTGGGCTAAATACTTCAACGTCCAGCCAAGATCCTCCATGGGGCGGCCATTTTCAGTGCCTGTAAAGCGAGGAATCCGTCCTAAAGCACAGTGGGAGCCATTTTGCACAACGAGCGGCCATTTTAGATCCACTGATCAGCTGTTTAGAATCATCGTCTAGCGAAAAATCGGTTCCTGAAGCAGGGAACCAATCATCGTCAAGCGAAATTTCCCTATCTAAACATCGTAAAGCAGATTCGTCATTTAACGAGGTAATCGTTAAGCGAGGCACCACTATACAGTGGCGTTCAGCTCCAGGTACAGAAAACAGTGCAAACAGTACTTGGAGTTGTGACAAGTAGGGATTCTATTTCTCACACACATATACACACAGACTCACCTTTTAAAATTGTTTTTCCCAATTTGCAAACTTCTTTGTATTTGACATGGGGCAAAGTGAGCTTTTAAATATCAAAGGTGGGATAAACTGAAATAGATTTGCCCATTTGTGTTCAGGGCTTTGAAAGCTGAATTCTTTAAATGATGGCCTTCAATTTCAGTGCATTCAACCATGTTATTGCTGACTTAAGGTTCAATCTCTTCTTTTCTTTTTTTAAGAGGCTTCTCATTTTTGAAAAAAATATATATAATGGAGCCAGATACCACGTGGACCTCTCCATGTGGTGACTAGTTTTACCTGTTGAATTTGACCAGGTGCACAGGGGACAATTTCATTTCATTTTTTGAAGGATTTACCAATTTCCTTTATGTCTAAAACGGAACTAACTTGACATTTAGACTTTTGAGTGAGAGGAAAATGAAACTAATTTTTTCCAATCTCTAACTTAAAAAGCAGGAGAAAAAAGGGAATATTAACAGTGGTTGCAGAATTTTGATTCTATTCATTTAAAATACTCATGCTAATAGCCTTGTGACACCTTAAAGACTAAGAAGTTTTATTGGCATATGTTTTCATGAATAGCAGTCCATGATGCTAGTCTTTTAAGGTGCCACAAACCTCAAAGTTGCTTTAACTTCCCAAATGCTATTCATCTTCTTTGAGAGTGCAGTTTATTCTTTTTACAATTTTATTGCCATCTTTCTTTGTTGTGGTTCAGAATACTGCATACAATCATCCTTCTTCCTCTTTATCTTCGCAACAAGTCTGTGAGGTAGGTTTGGCTAAGGGAGAGTGATTGGTTCTGGGTTAGTAGGTGAATTTTTGGCTCGGAGGATATATGAATTGGAAAGCTTCAGGATTCTTCAGTCATCTTGAAATGTTTGTTAAGAAGATACGTAATATAAAAAGAATTTGTAGTTCATAATTTTGGAAAGTGAGACGGGGGCACCAATAACTATCATTTTTTATTTCTTTTCTTAATATGGAATGTTTATCATGTAATCATACAACGTATGCTTTATTACAAGCCATGTCATGCTTTATGTTTTCCTCCCACCCCTGCTGCCAAGTTTTCTCTCAAATTCATTAATTAAAGAAAGAAGAAAAGAATGCATAGATTCTTTGCATCTTCTGATTATTGTTCAATGCTCTGTATCAACTTGTGAGTTCTCAGAATTTTGGCCAGGGAGATCAATTAGGCTTAGTCATAGTCTAAAAACACCTGCCAAGATCATTGAATGATGATCACTACCAGTGTTTGCAATGGCACTGTCACCTTGAAAGCCTATTTTCAGGTATTCATGTGCCACTACCATTCTACCTGGTCCCATCCGCACACTTGGCTCCACTTACAGTTCTGCACCATGTACATTATATGTTTGTGGTTACATATTGTGGTCCACGTGTCTGAAGAAGTGGATTGCAATTCAAGTAGGTGCACACTAGCCTTACACATGTGCAAAAGGAATAGCAAAATCTGCTACTGCTTACTGATCAAGTCTCAGTTGCATGTCAGGCACCACCTGATTTTGTGGCCAGCTGCATGCCCAGCACACATCTGGTATTCTGTCAATTAACCACAGTTATCTGCAGCTAATTTACATGAGTGAATTTATCATGCACATGGGTGGAACTCCAATAGGGTTTTGACCAATAAAATAAATCTTAAATGTGCCACTATCTTTTTTCATGCTTTTGTGTTTGTTGTTGCTAAAACATACCCACATGCCTGTCTCTCTGAAATTAATAAGATTTTGAAATTGGAGCGTGGTATTATTATTGTGTCTTATTATTTAATTATAATATGCAGTTACATTGCATTAGTCTACTGCACTGGTTCTCAGCCTTGACTTACTCAGGAGTTGTGGACTGCAACTCCCAGAAGCCTTCACCACCAACTGTGCTGGCTGAGGTTTCTGGGAGTTGCAGTTCAAAAACATCCGAGTAACGAAGGTTGGGAACCTAGGGTCTACTGCAGTGGTTCTTAACCTTTGTTACGCAGGTGTTTTTGAACTGCAACTCCCAGAAACCTCAGCCAGCAGAGCTGATGGTGAAGGCTTCTGGGAGCTGCAGTCCAAAAACATCTGAGTAACAAAGGTTAAGAACCAGTGGACTGGATCTCCCTGTGCATTTGCCCAATCATCAGGGTGTTATTCTGGTACCTTTCTGACTTGAATTTAATATATTTTAAATGTTAATGTCAGCTGCAGCTACTTAGAAAAGATATAAATATGTCCGGGGAGGCCAAAATGCTGTTCCATGGGCTTCTAGAATTCTTTTGTGTTGCCAGTTGTTCCTCTCTCTTTATGGCTTTTTTTCTTTACCTATAATAAAGTTGCTTGAGGCACAAATAAATGGGTGGAAGTGGGAAGTCAAACAGAGAACATGCTTGGAATTTTTACTCCCCAGATGTTTAATATCTATGTGGTCAATAGGACAGCCAGAAGTGCTTCAGGCTGAAGTGCATATGTTATGAAGGAAGAGAGAGAGGTGAAGAGATTAAGGGCTAAACTTAGAAAGATATATTATTACTAAATGCAATAATTGTGTATATTATCTCATTTTTTTGAAACAGTAATGAAATAGCCATAACCTAATGCAAGTATCATGCTTTAAAGACTTGGCATACCCCATGTTGTGGAAATCTTTTCCACTTCCATTTTGAAGCTGAGTAGCATCTTGGATAAGGAGATGTTTTCATTCCAAACTTGGCATGAAATGAAAGGTTTAAGTCTCTTCCCTCACAGCAGTATGGATCGCATCCCTTTCAGCTGTTTTTATTTTTTAATGTAAATGTGATGACTCATTTAATGTGTTGTCTGGTTTTTGTCCTCAATGCTGGCAGGGCAAGCAAGCACTTTAAGCACCTACCTAGAGAGGCTGGTGGCTAACTTTTCTTTTGCTTTTACCGTACAGGGAACCTACAGGTTCTGTAGGGGCCACAAGAGATGCCCCCTTGCCCAGGGCAAGAGGACTTTCTGAACCCAGCTAACCCACTGCCCTACAGGAACCAGTAGCTGAGTTCATTTCAGAGAACAGTATCCATCCCTCAGTGGGCCAAGAATGCAACAACCTAGGAATATCTTGCATGAATTCCGATCTATAAGGGCAACCTCTTTGTTTCCCTCATCTTCACCTTCCCAGGCTTTCTCCCCGAGACTGAGGCTGAGGCCAACATCATTTCCACTCCCTGAAAAGCTCAAACCCTGAGGCGGGGGGGGGAGGGGAGAGAAGCAGTTTTGGAATATTCTTGACTCCTTTCCTGAAACTAGGCATCATACAGCTGTTGCTACAGCTCCTTAAGTGCACACTCTTCTGTAAGAAGAGTGCATTTAGCCTTGGTTGACTTCTGGTGGCTTTGAAAGTCAGTAGGTACAGAAGCAGAATGTCTAGCGCTTTCTGTCGAAGAGGAGAGAAACAATCCAGACAAGTGGCAACTTCAAAAGGGGCACCCTTCCTATTCCTGTACCCAAAGAATATGCAACATTATATGTTTATTTAAAAATTCACTGTTGCTGGTTCTGAAGTAGTTATCATAAGATCCTAAAATCTTGCAAACCAGCTTTGCATATATAAATCCACAAAATGAGCGCAGGAAAACCCAACCAAACCAACAACAAACACCTCATCTCTTGGCCTCATATATATAAATCGTGGCCCTGTGGCCATGCCTGTTCTGTCTTAAAGTTCCCTTAGAGGCAAATGGTGAAGGATTCACTAAATGTCTTTTGCATTTCACTCGTCTTTCCACGGTTCAGTTGTCGAGCTGAGGAGCAGCTTCGAGGAAGCAAATGGAACATGGGAACACAAGTTGACTTGTGGGTCACTGTGGCATCTGGAGGGCATTGCACAGTCAGGCTCTTGGTGTAGACAGAGAGAAGGTTTCTGACATGAAATGAAGGCACTGCCAGCGTGCACTGGGCTTGTGTGATTTTTTTTGGACGTTACAAACCAAATGTATGTGCGGCCCAAACCAAATTTTCATCTTCTAATGTGGCCCAGGGAAGGTGAAAGGTTGGACACCCCTGGTGTAGACAGAGAGAAGGTTTCTGACATGAAATGAAGGCACTGCCAGTGTGCACTGGGCTTGTGTGATGTTTTTTTGGATATGTTATGCAAACCAACACCTGTTCATTTGGAGGCCATTCTTGCTTCATGCAGATGACTAAGGATGTAGTTATTTGTAAGCTTTTCAAGGTTATTTTAAACTCGAGGTAATTACTCTTCGGGTGATTAAGAAGCACAAATTTGGTTCTCTTGAATTTCAAAGAGTAGAGTCCTATAAAGCCTTTCTTGCTTATCTGTAACTTATTTTTAAAAGTCAAGTGCTAGCATGGAAAGGACTATGAAAGAGATGTGAGTCAGGATAACTCTGTAAGCCTTTAATAGTCTGTAGGATAAACACTGAGGGATCTAAATGTAAATAAATACTTCTTGCTTGCAGTTTGTCTAGTCCTCAAAGCAAAAAACAAAAACAAAAGAACTTCAGAGAAATGCAGTGGGGAAATAATTCTGTTCTTATGCTTTTGTTAGGTTAGAAGAGTACCCGGTTCCAGCGGCCACCTGCACAAGACAGAAGATGGAGATTGGGAGTGGAGTGATGATGAAATGGATGAGAAAAGTGAAGAGGGCAAAGCTGCTTTTTCTCAAGAAAAGGCAAGTCTTGGAAACTGTGTGGCTGCAGTACCTCACAATCTTTGAACAATCTTTGTTTTGGCACTTAATTTGCAGTTAGTAACTATGGATGCTTGTCTTCTAGTCACGAAGAGTAAAAGAAGAAGAGAATGCTGAGGTAAATCATTGTGTTTACTTCTCTTACATTTTGAGTAGGTGACTAATGTTTAATGATTTTTGTCTATAAGAACTGTATCACTTTGGAGTTAGTAACCAGCAGCAGCATTTAACAGTTTGCACCTCTAGGTTTGCTCTTCTCACAGGACAGGAGCAGAAAATATGAGGCAGTGGTCAAATGTAGATTTTTAAAAACTGTTTTGAAAAACTAGGATGCTAGATAAAGAAAAAACCTAGACATAAGTTCATTAATCATTAAAGTTATACTCTTGTTAGTACTGCTAAGAAGGATATATTCTCTTCTTAATGCCACTTTTTCCAAAGGCTTGTCTACAAATGGCTGGATCGGTTTCAATTAGGTCCCTAGAGGTTGCAGAGAACTTTGGTATGCCATTTGGTGCGATCCTCACATCCAAATGGCATGCCGGACCTTGGGTGACCTTGTCTGCTCCCAGAATGGCATTGGAACTGGTAGTTGGGAGGCTGTGGGGAAAAAAGGGAATGTGTGAGAATTGTTTTCTTCCCTGTCCCATTCACAGAAGTCCCAGCTGGATTAAAGAGCTTTCTGTGCCCAAAAGGAGAGTGTTGGAAAGAACCCACTGACCTAAATTTAACCAGTGTCGGCTAGAGCAGACCCATTAAATCAATGAAATTTATTATTAGTGTCAACCTACCAGGTGTTCCTGGATTCAATGGGGTCTGCTCTTTGGACCTAACTATTGGGTTAAGACTTTTGTGGTGATTCTTCCCCATGTGGTTTTTAAATTACTCCTTGTAATTATGCTGTGTTGCTGCATGAAAATAAATGCTTCCTGCTTTTAATATTTTTTTTAAAATCTTTTAAACAGATTTCCATGAATTCCAGCAATATCCCTGATCAAATACAGAATCTATCTATAAAAGGTTCTCAGGTACATAGTCTCTGTTGAAATTAAGCAGATCTGGACTGATTAGATAGATTTGAGAGCCATTTTTGGTAATCACTTTGGTGTTGTGATTCTCTGGTCCAAGTAGATCAAGTTATATTTGGCATTTACTAAAATAATCTCACAGTAGTTTCCTCACAGTCCCAGTTTGCAATTTACCCAGATTTAGCATGTCATCAATAAAATCAGAAAATGTGTGATGATGCATCCTTTTTCATCATCCACTGGATGTTCAGTCCTAGTATTAGCCTTACAAAGTGAGATATATGTATTAACCTTGAGAAAAATGGCTCCTAGAAAATTGTATTCCTGTTTCTGATAGTTACTACCAGCTATTGTGATTATGCTGCTATAAGTCAATAACAATATGTGTTACTTGATGGAGATACAAACAAGGTCCATTAGGTGTTTTCTCAATAAATCTATTGTCCTGTTGAATCAACGTTCAGCATAGTTAATATGGCCACATTAAGATATGGATATGTGTTAAAGCAAAGACTCTTCAAAGTTTATTCAATTAGCATGGGGAATAAATTAAAACTGTCCTCCTTTATTTGTGCAACTGTTACATCTGGTCTTAGGCTGAAATTGTTGGTTACTTTACAGTCAAGTGGGAAAGCTACTTTAAAGAGATCCCACCTTGATTTATAAAATGGAATGTTCTTGAGGAATGATGTTGCTGAAACTGTTGTAAATATGAACTGCCTTTTCTTTTAAAATAAAATTAGACTCAGCCTGCTGTTAGCGATGAATATGGTGAAGTTCCCTGTGCTGTGAATCTTGTTTTAAGACTAAGGTAAGAAGTTCCCTACCCCCTTTTTTTTTGGTATGGTCAATTCTCCTTGTACTTACACAATATTAGTAAGAAATAAGTGTTAACATAGTCATTCCCCCAATATGACCAATATGAATGGTGTTTCCATGACTAATTGCTCTCTTTTAATTGCTTAGTAAAATAGGATTGTGGAGGGGGGGGGAGAGAATATACTGAATATGAATGTAGCTTCAGGCTAAAGGTACCCTTCATTAAGTATTTTCTTTTTCGCCCTCTTTTTTCATTCCATTGCAGGATCACAGTGAGAGATTTTTAATGAGTTTCTTTCACACTCCAGCAGTCAACCTCTGACGGAAATAAACCACGGCTGTATTACAACTTGCCTGTTCAGAGCATTTTTACTGAGCAGGTTTGATCAGCAGCTGAGAGGAGAGAGAATGACTTATATATTTTCAAAGAAATTTCTCCCTTTTAGAAAAGAAACAGATACGGTGTCAGGGTCTTTGGAAGTAGACAAAAGTTGATTTCCGTTTTAAGAAAATGAGTTTGCAGCATGTTAATTGCTTCTCCTCTAGCAAGTTTTTTAGAGTCCTAATTAATTTTCACAGAGCTAGTTGAATCTGCTTTTCATGCAGTCATAACCTAGTTTTCTCTAACCCTAAACCAAAATAGCTTGGGAAACAGATATGACTTCAAAGTTAATCTCCCTCTTATGCTTTCTTTTTAAAGAAGGAGGTGGTAAATTTTCCTCTGTTCACATTCTGAAGTGGTGCTGTGAGAAAATAGAGGAGTAGCCCTCTTAGCAGCAGCCCCTGCTACTGACGCCACTGCCCAGCTTGTTTACTTGGCCAAGGACCTCTGTCATAATTTCCCATGCAGGAAGGCCGTGCTTGAACTGTCACGACCCAGCCATCAGCAGCTACTAAAAGTTGTTTTATGAATATCCTATCTAGTCTTCAAAAGAAGAAGTTGAACATTACTCTGTGGGGAAAAATGCAAGAGTTTCTGAGGTGTGGGGAGTGCGTATTTCACCACAAGGAGTACATGCTTGTTTTTGTTTGTTTGGGGGTTTTTTTGGCTGTGGATACCAAAGAAGTTTGAAAAGTGGAGGCAAAGTTCATTGACCTGTTTCTCCTTCTGTTCTGGCCCTCCTCTTTCTAAAGAATGCTCTAGTCAGTTAGGAGACTGGGAAGCAGGGCCTCTGGCAGCCTCTTCTGCACAATTTTCTGTCTCACTTGAGTTCTCCTGCAGTCTCCATAGTCAGAGAGGAAATTTCCATTGTAGTCTACCTAACTGGATACAAACCAGAGTGGTACTGACCTACCAGATGGGCGGGATACAAATCAAATAAATAAATAAACCAACATTTTTCAACAAGTGTCTGCTGTCCAGCTCTGTACATTGCTTTTTGTCATAAAAGCGGCATCTCTTCAATCTTCCTCCGTTCTATCCCATGACTTTAACACAATTAGAGGATAATATGCACACCCTCTACCTTCCGTAATCCCCCCTTTTTTCCCCACTTCTTTCCTTTCTTTTTTCCTGCCCCTCCCCCATTTCAGGATAACTTTCTTTTAAATGTATGAAACCTTGCATGCAACTTTTAAAAGTGTAGGTGATGGTACTGTGTTTGCATCTGCTTTGTATGAGCCTGCCCGGTCACAGATCAAGCATGTGCATGGGGCAGTCAAGACCTCCATGCCATGTTCAGATGGCACAGTCCACTTAGGACTTTTCCACATGGTCAGCTGGTTCTTGGGAAGTTGCTCTCCACCCTCAAAGTGTGTTTCCTGTGAGTGCCTCTGTTTTGTGAAGGAAGTGAAGGTTCCCCTTGACATTTTTTGTCCAGCTGTGTCCGACTCTAGGGGACGGTGCTCATCCCGTTTTCAAGCCGTAGAGCCAGCGCTTGTCGGAAGACAGTTTCCGTTGTCACGTGGCCAGCGTGACTAGGGAACACCGTTTTTACCTTCCCACCAAGGTGGTACCTATTTATCTACTCGCATTTACAAGCTTTCAAACTGCTAGGTTGGCAGGAGCTGGGGCAAAGCGATGGGAGCTCACTCTGTCACGTGGATTCGATCTTACGACTGCTGGTCTTCTGATCCTGCAGGACACAAAGGCTTCTGCGGTTTAGCCCGCAGCGCCTTTACTTTTCTTGTTGCAGTTCCCCCTTTCCTTTTCCTTAAATCAGTGGCAAAGCTTTGTACATTTGCAAGTAGCAGTCTGTGTTTGCCTGTAAATTTCATCCACTACAACCTTTCTCTTGGTAAATTGTAAACCTACATCTCCTTAAGAAAAATATTGGGGAAGGTAAAGCCAGTGGGCCCTGTAGTTCATATCAGTTGATTACAAGCTGTAGCATGTGTAAGAAGTCTCTGCTTTACTTCAGCTCTGTGCTGCTTTGTTCTTGAAGGGTGGTGTCATGGTTAGAATGCTGAACTTTAATTCAGGAGACCTGGGTTCAAATCCCCATGCATTTGTGAAGCTTACTGGGTGGCCTTGGGCGAGGCTGATTTACCTCTCACAGTTGTTGTCAGGATTTATTTTATTTATTTATTTTATTTATTCTATTTATATCCCGCCTATCTGGTCAATATGAATAAGGAGGGCAGACACATGTGCTGCTTTGAAGAAAAAGCAGAACATAGATGTAATATATACACATACCCCATTCACAAATGCATGGGGATTTGAACCCAGGTCTCCTGAATTCAAGTTCAGCATTCTAACCATGACACCACCCTTCAAGAACAAACATATATATATGACGACCACCACTCCCAAGACCAGTTGCCAAAATCGTCTACTCTGAGCGGCTCACAACATGTACGATAAAAACATTTAAAAATATACAGAGTTTACATAAACAAAAACAAAGCAATATAAACAAATATAAATCGTAAGTTTATAAATATTAATTGGCTGAAATCCAACTGGTCACCACTAGAATTGTTGAACCATTGAATCAGTGGAGCTGACATAGATGTTGACTCACCAAATCCCCACCCATTCATTGGGCCTACTCTGGTGCAACTTACTGCTGGGTTTCAGCCACTATTAACATTCATAGTTCAATCTTCTGTCAAAAAGTACAGGGTTTCATCTTCTCAGTGATATTGTGGGGCTGAAAAATCTTTTCAGAACTTGAGTCTCTGTCCCAGAGATCCCAGAGAAATGGTTCTCTGAGTCATTTTCCATGTTACCCTCTAATCTTGTTGTACAGCAGTTATTAGGAGAAAGCTCCATTAAACGTAGTGGGATTAGATTATGATTATGTATTGGATTGATTGACTGGTTGGTTGGTTGGTTGATTGTCTCGTATTTCATTCTGTCTTCCTAATCTTTGGCATAAAACTACTTGGGAGCAGTGCTTGGAAGAAGTTTAATGTTATTACAACTCCTTTTATGACTCTTACAAATTGTGAGCTTCTGTTAAAAGTCTGAGTACATTCTTCTTGTAGAAGGAAAAGGCAGGCAATATTTCTGGACCAGTCAGAATGTACAACAGTCGTCCAAGATAAAGGGACTTTTGTTGGCGCCGCTTCTCTTACAATTTAAAGAGAAGCGCTCTAACCAGAACAGCAACGGCATCACTTATTTTGATAATCACAGATTGGGGGTGAGTTGGTTTGCTTTTCTTTCTGTGTTTTGAGCATTGGCAGGAAATCTGCTTACCATTGGCAAAAGCTGAGAGCACAGCAAGGTATAAATTGGATTCAGTGGAGATGTCTGTGGCAAAAGCTTTGGGGTTTTTTCACCCTATTTCAGGTTCTTTTGGTCGGTGCCTGTTTTGTTGCCCTGTGTTTCGTGCATTGATCTTTCCATTTAACATGAAAGGGAGTGCCTGTTTCCAGGTCCGTTCCGTTCATTTCCTTCCATTCATGTATTCTAGCACTAGTCCCCCCCCCCCAAAAAAAGCCCACAAGGAATTTGACATGGCAACAATGTGTGGAAGAAATCCCCTCTTTTATCACACTGTCTGATATTGAATTGTAAGTTGCATCTAGAGTAGAACTTATTGACTTGCCAAATTCCATCTGACTTAGTGGGCCGACTCTAGTTGTGACTTACCTTATGTGTTTGTATCTCCATATGTTACTCTATACATAAATACCTTGGATGAGGTGCCATCCCTAGTCTTTTGTCTTACTTCTACCACTCCATTCAGTATTAAAAAAAAGTTATTTACATTTTGTGCTTGTACAGACAAGGAGCAGTTCATTTGTCGTGTGCTGTGTTGAATTGATATTAACACAGATTTAAGTAGCTAAATTCTCTTCTCTCCATTTTCCACCCCAATGAACCTCTTAAACACTCACCTGCTGAGATGGTCATTAAATCTAGTTGTTGATGAGGCTTGCAGAGCTGGTTGGAATTCTTAGTCTCTCTGAAGATGAGAACTATTTTTGTCAAAGAGTATCAAGCCAACATTAGCATGTTAAACACATTGTCTTAAGAATTCTCTCCTGATGCTCCTCTCTCTCTCTCTCCCTCTCCCTCTGTCTCTCACACGTGCACACACAGACAGAGACACACAGGGGATCAAAACCAGTTTGGGATCCCATTTCTTTAGTAATAAAAAGTTCATTTTAAATTATAGGATCTCTCATTTGAAGTATTGGTTTACTTTTCAACTGTTGAGAATGATAGAACCTTCTAAAGGTATTTGTTACACTCAATATAAAACAGTTCAGTAGGTAGTATTAGCAGTGTGCAACAACAGCCTTTGACCAAAATCCTGTTGCTTGGTGTGGTAAATTGCAGTTGAGTAGGTCCATTGAATCAACAGGGATTCTGTAAATTCCTCTGTAAATTCCATTGATTCAAGTGGGCCTACTCTAACTGCAGCTTAATATGCTGAAATAAGTCAAGGAAGAGGGCTGATGGACTGGAACACTAGGAGGCTTGGATCATTGTTTAACCAGGATATGCCTGAAGTCAACCATTGAAATGCATGTTTTTTTTTCCCCACAGCAATCTAGCCTCTTTGGTAGCATGAAGTTTAGCTCAAAGCTCAGGGA